TTCCCACTCACAACATTCTATGATTCTGTAATTTTTTTGGCCTTTGCTTATCTCCTAATGTCTCTGATCAGTTCACAGGATGTGGTTAGATGTTTGTTGCTCTCTGCCTTACTTGCCCCATTGTGATCCTGTGCTAGAAAAGTCAGGTGGATATATTCCAGCGGGGCAGGGTGCCCGGGATGGGTGAGGAGGGGGCACTGCAAGCTGGGAGCACTGGGTCTGTCTCCAGCTCAGTGCCTTACACTCACCCACTGCTTGACTTGGGCTACTATGACTATTATGATGGCCATCACTGTTATTGCTGAGCTGATCATACTGTCCAGGGTTGTATTCTTGCTGTCAGCAGTAGTGTTTGCAGTGATGGGTGCTCTGGGTACCAGCCTGTGCCATGTGCAGAACATGCAAAAGTGACCTAATTTTCAGGAAGTGTTAAGTTCAGGGTTAATTTCACGGGCAGCCATCAATCTTGGTATCCAAAATCACTCCTAGTAAGTCAGCCAGAGTATAAAGCCAGACTCTTAGCTTCCTTGCCACTCAGAATTAAATTGGGTGCTGATATTTATCTAATGAATGATCAAGAGGTGCTTGGGAGCAGGGGAAGAAGACAGCATCAGTAATGCAGAGAGGCTTAGGCAACTTGGGGAGGGGTAGCAAGTGACAACCTTTTGGGTCACTGTTGTGGCTGCTGGAGACACGCTGATGGGCTGGTTGTGCTTCCCTTCCCAGGTTCCGTCACCAACTGGATTTACTCAGCCGTGAATGAGTCGGTTCTTCTCAACATCGCTGCTTCTGGGAGCATATACCATGCAACATGGCTGAGAGACAGAGAAAGGTTGCTTCAGATAAAAGATAGGAAAGTTAAGTACTATGTGAACAAGAACGAGTGCAGATGTAAGATATTCCTCAATGGGACTCTGCAAGTTGAGCAGGTGGTGAAAGAGGACAGTGGAAAGTACATGGTGATTGTTTACCAGCAGGATGGAAAACTGAAGGCAGAAGAAGAGACAATGTTAATTGTTCAGGGTGAGTTTTTGCTCTTCTCAGCATAGCTGAATGAGATCTGGTATTCCTGCTCTCTCTGACAACCTTTTCCACTCTTTGTTCCCCTTTTTGTTTTAGGGGGACATCTGTGAGGGGGACTTTAGGGGGACTACCTCTTTCCTCCTGCCGCTGACAGGAGTCAGCTGCTCTTCTCCCTTCTCTTGCTCCTATTGATGCTTTCTGCTCCCCTGCTTCTCTCTGACTCCCCTCTCTAGATACTGTTTCAGCAAGGTGAGCACCTTGTGTTGCATCTGCTAGCCTCCTGAGGAGAGCTCAGGAGCTCAGGTGGCACTAAATACCTGTATAGGCAATGCAATCCCACTCCCTTTTTGCTCTAACATAAAAAATAGCCAAGAGTCACCCCCCATGAGATACACCACAATAAGGAGTTGAATTTGCAGGGGCAGAAGACTCCTGCACCCTATCCTTGCACAGCATAACACAAGAAATATGAAGATTGTGCTGTCCAAAGCATGCTTAAGCACACGCCTGGGGATTTTAGCTGTGTGGCTTCAAAGCATGAAGGCAGCCTCCATTCCTGTGCTATATCTTGTCCTGAAAGATCAGAGCAGCATCAGCCTAAAGCTTTTGGGATGAGTAGGGAAGATGAGGATGGCTATTCTGCTCCTTTTTGGCTGCTCTCTGCACCTCTCCAGACCTCCAAGCTCTAGGACAGCATGTTTTGTTGGGTTTTTTTCCCCCAGCAAGAGGATGGTTTTGCTCTGTCCTTCTCCAGGCAGCGTGCACCCCTCTGCCAACCTCTTGAGTTTGTGGGCACAAGCTGGCTCTACAGAAATGATGCCTTGATGAGGCAGCAAGGCCAGCTGGAAAGGTTTTAGCAGGGTTTCTGCACAGCAGGAGGCCCCATGACTAACCAAATGCTGAGCAGTGAGGATGTCTCACTACTTTGGGAATTATTATGATTGCAAACTGTCTACAGATTCAGGAAGCCATCAGGGCATGATGCTGTTTATTCATGCTTTAAGCCACTGAGCTGTCGTTGGGGTTTCCTGGGGTTCAGTTTCAGGTTGAGGTGCCAACCTAGCTATGTGCTGCATCATTTCTTTGGCTGTGCAGCTGAGAGGTTGCCTTACCTCTGATGGCAGTGTTGGAAGTAAAGTCCTTTAGTAATTAGTAATTAGTCGGGTGTTAGAGTCATTTGTTGGCCAGATTATACTTTGTTACTAGGGTTGGACAAACAGTTGCAAAAAAATAATAGTTTCACAGAATCCCAGAATGGTGGGGGTTGGAAGGGACCTCAGGAGATCATCCAGTCCAACCCCCCTGCCAAAGCAGGTTCC